TATATATATATATATATATATATATATATATATATATATATATATATATATATATATATATATATATATATATAATCGAGAACCCAAATCTATTGTTGATAAAGTCACATTGATCTTTTTTAGTAGTAAAACCAAATATATTCATCGATCGATTACTTGATTCATTTGGATCTTAAAGTGTTAATTATTTAACAAAAAATCTAACAATTCAAATCATTTGTTTGTATATAATTCAATATTATTCGGAATCTTCCATAAAGCTACTTCTCAAAACTCAAAATAAAAAAAAATATGCCACTATTTTTTTTTATAATTTAGATTATTTTATTTAAAATTATACTAATTTTATATTTTTAACTTAAAATTATACATTTTTAGAGCTATTTTTAATATTTTTTGTAACATGAGTACATCCCATCATATCATACTTTAGTATGGAATGGTACGATTCAGACTGACAAGATGAACGTTGACTAAAGTTTTTATCGTTGTTGAGACTGAAATTTTATGGTCACTTCACTAGAGCTATAAAAACACATGAAAAAAAATGACTGTAAACATGCCATGAGAATGTCTCCAGATTTTACGAACTACTTCAGTAGATAAGGATTTTTGAAGAAACAACTAGAAATTTATTTTAATCAGCAAGGAGGTCACCAATCAAAGATTTTAACGTTTCACCCGTCAACCTTTATTTTTCCTTCCCCTAATTGTACATTACGAAAATTAGCTTCATCATCTAATTTCTTCTTAAATGTATGAATATATACATTTACGTATAAGTGTTTTTAATGAAACGATTGTCGGAAGCAGTTGGCAGTCAGGAAGCTTATTCAATCATAATTTGACAATAAATCTCGTTGAGGAAAAATATCGTTGATGCCTTTACTAGCTTAACTTGACCCTAATCTAATCTGTATATATAGAGTTTTTCGAGGTGAAAAGTGTATTCTTCTTGGATGAAAAAAACATGCTCCCGAGATGTTACCTACGAAGATCAAAGTTGAGAGAGGCTTCCCAAATTGATCCCTTTGACACTCAAATTAATTCCGATGTCAACTTTTATGGATCTATATTCTTGATTTTAGCAATTTTAGCACCCTTGGATTTTGTGGACTTGTATGTTGTTGAGCCTTTTTCTCTGTACTCGTGTGACAGATGATGATTGACCGATTATCTTTATGTTAACATCTTGTAAAACAAAATTATGCTCGTCTTATAAGAAATTATAAATAAAGATCTAAAAACGCTCATCTTATAAGAAATTATAAATAAAGATCTAGAAACTTCTATTTTAACTAGGAAAAAATATCCATGTCATATGATTTTCTTGTTGCTATTACATTAGTAGATGAAGATAGACAAGCTTATATATTAAATGCTGCACACAAACAAAGATAACATTATTAGTAATATGGATGACAGTTATGTTAGTTAATGACACATTTTTCCTGGAAAGTAAAATTTCACCACCAATAATATACAAAGCTGTAGAATCTAGGATAAACCAAACATGAAAGTTCCAACTACCAATCGCCTATTCTTTACTACCAACAAGAGAAGTTAAGATAATACATCCATTGTAATAGAAACAAACACCAGAAACAACCATTACTAGCAACAATGAAACAATGCCTTCGTTTGCAAGCAGTAGCAACACATCCCTCAAAGGCATACAGGTTGAGAAGAAGCAAGTCATTATTCATCAGCAGTTCCGCTCAACTCTTAGCTTCAAAATGATTTCTGGACATTCAGAAACAAATATAATCCACTATTATGTCTCCTCCATGAAAACAGGAAGTCTTGTACTGGAGAAACAGCAGCAATGGTAATCCTTGAGAATCTTTGATGTATAGTCTTCAACTCAGGATTGAACTTGTAGGTCAAGGGGAATCAAGCTGCATGAAATTGTCAAGTGTTCACTGTATGTTTCTTATAGACCATGCAGTAGTAATTTTGTGTATCGCAGCTACATCATTTCCTAATAAAACAGTTTGATGCCATTAGGAAAGTCTTCGCAGTGCCTCAGATATGAGGCTACCGATCCTATTGCAACTTTCCTTCTTGTGTTGCAATCATGAGATGGAGGAAAGTGGAAGCAGGGCTCCATTGTCATGGAATGGAGACAAACATTCTTGTTCTTGGGTCTTACGAGAATCCATGGCCTCAAACCACCAAGGCCTTGTGCCACATACCCAAAGGTAGAGAACTTGCTAGTAATCAAAGCATCACTCAAGCTTAGGAGATAAATCTCTGCAAAAGCCTTCATGTTGTGACTAAGCTTCTCCGTGTGCTGCTGCTCTTCATGGCTTGGTTGATAGACGCTGATTACCTCTCCAGTAGTTGTCGCATGCTCATAGTACATGTCTCTTAGCCTCTCAAAGTAACGACTGCTTAAACTGGTCACAAGAACAGCTTTTGGCTTCACTCCAGAGATAGTTGGCAGAACAGGATCTTTCAGATCAATGTTGGGCAACAATCTCTCAGTCAGTGCACAATTGATGATATAACTAGAGTGGCTATCTAGATCAACCTGCCCAAATGTTCTGATCTGCATTCCTAACCTTTCCTTTGCATCTGCCAGATAAGCTTCATAATACCTTGTTATGTAGCCCCAGACTGTGTTTGATGGATGGAAAAGATAACGTCCCAAATGATGGAAGACGGTGGTTCTCTCTGGGAAGAGGAGACTTAGTTCCTTCTCAAACTGAGGAATGAGAAACAAAGCAGGTGCAAAATACTGGTTTGATCTTAACAGCAGCCAAGGGAACTTTTGAAGCAGTAGTTGGTCCTCTTTGCAGTAGAACATCTTATCAAAGTCATCATTAGCATGTATTAGGTGGAGATATATATATGCTGGCAATGGCCCTGAAATATTTCGAGAATTCATGTCATTCCTAAGCACCTTTCTTTTCAGCAAATCTCCATATCTATTAGGATCTTTATCGAAACTATAGACCCATTTAATGTTCCTGATAGGGAAATCTGATGGAAGAACCCAAGTGGTCTCAGGAAATGGTTCACAGAAGAGATCACTCATGTCTTCAGGAAGGTAGAGCAGTAAGACCTTGTTGTTGAGGAGGGCATAGAGGAACGCTGAGGTAATACTAATGATCCGGTTGCCTAAGCCATCGGATGGTATCCATACGACATAGTTGCACTCCATTGGCCCCATGCTGTGATTGGACTTCAACTGTTCTATGGTCTTGTTGTAGAGCTTAGTGTTTGGGCCACATTTTTTGTGGAGAACTTCATAGCTTCGGAGCTTCTCTACAAGATAACTCGAAGGAGTGTGGTTTGATGATTTTCGAAACAATGCAGACTGGTAGCGGCTCAGGCAAGAAGCTTCATCAAATGCAGTGGAGAGCAAACCTCCAAGTAACTTGTCTTTTGGTGGCTCAATAGTTGAAGAACTTACAGAACAGCTACTGTTGGAGACTGAATGTTGAACACAAATACAATAAGAATACACTCACTTTAGTTGATGGGTTTAAGTTCAGTCACCGACTAGAAAGCAATCGGAATTAACAAAAAACATAACACTGAGTTCATTTATCTGAAAAAGAATGAAGAGAATCACAAAAGTTCGTCTAATAGTCTGTCAACATATAAACACTAATACATATAAGCAACAATGTTGTATTGTCTTCCTTTTCTGATTTTGTTAGTATAGAAAGTCCTTTGAACCTTACATAAATCTTACATGAATCCTATGAATC